ATATATATTTTCTTAAGAAAAGTTTGTTAGAATCATACCAATCCACGATCCATATCCATCCCACTCAACACGCAAATTTCCACTTGGGAGTCCTTCTTCTAAAATGACCTAATAGATGGTGATGTGCCCCACATGGGAAGGGCACAGTCTTTAACTTGAATATAAAAGGGTTTGGAGTTGCAGGCAGCAGGTCAACCACTACCTTAGGGATGACACCATCTCTTCTCTACTACTTAATTGTGCTGCTCTTTCCCATGCCATTGTATGTATATTTACTTCATCATAATCCTTTTGTTCTTTTCTTTCACTTACTGTCTGTGTCAAGTAACAGACCCTTGTCGTCAATTTTCGAGTGCTTTAAACCACTTTGATTTTGACAAGGCCAAACCATAGAGAGGTGGTTCATGGTTGACATGGTTGTTTGTCTGTTCGTTCGTTAGGTGGTTTGTTACTTATAGGTGGTATGGTATGTACGGTTGGTCTGATTTGAGTAGAAACTTTGAGTAGATTAAAAGTTTACATCTTGGGTGGAATTGAGGAGATTGAGGCCAATTCTAATATAGAATGGTGATAGTAGTAAATATATTATCCTGACTTCAACTTAAAAGTGGAGGATAATAACATGACATAACGTATTATGAGTGAAAAATGTTCAGCTTTATTTTAATCTAATTTTTCAACTGCATTTGAGATCTACTCTTGAAAATTTGAAAATCAACATACATTAGAACTTTTGTGTTGTTTATCTAATCACACCATAACATGGTTAGATGTTTAGTAATCTGGTGGATGATGAACAAATGTGTCACTCTTGCAATTCATCTTCCTTCTCGCAGATCTTTCGCGTTCCTCTTGTAGTGATATTTATATTCACATAACCGAATAATTGCCTAAACAAAATTGAGCACCAAACCTATCCTTTGTAAAACAATAAAAATAAAACCTATCCTTTTCTATTCACTAACATATTTACAATGGCTTGCACTATCACATATTTCCTTTCAAGTGAAACCCATGAATTTTTTTTTCCTTCTAAACTCAATGATTTAAAAGACTGGAAATGCTGGAGCTAAAAAAATTGAACACATGGAATGTTTGTAACGAAATAATTGCTAGACCCTAACGAGGTTTCTGAGATCCTAATTCCTAAGCAAATAATTAACTTCCTCTCCTTCATTACATTGCATCAATCATTCCAAATCTCTATTATTATCCCAAACTCAAAATCAAATGCCACCTAGACCACTAATAACTAAACCCCTTTGTTTTGCCACTACCTCTCCACCAAACAGTACGTTTTGGATCACCAAATATGCTAACTACTACTCTAATCCCCAACCAACAACTCTCTCTGCATGCCGTATCTTTTTTGCCATTTCTTTTCTCAACCCCGTCAACTCTCTTCGATGTATAAGTAGCACCTCCTCTGTCTCTGAGTTCACCATCTTACAAATCGAAAGCAACAACCCAAACAAAAAAAGACATGGCAGCCATGGCTGGTCCTGTTCTTCTATCATTCCTAATGATCTTCTCCATCCTTTCTTCCTCTGTTAGTTCCCTTAGCTTGAACTACTACGATAAAACTTGCCCCAACTTCGAGTCAGCCGTCACCAATGCCGTCCAGAAAGCCATGAAGAATGACAGAACTGTCCCTGCCGCACTTCTTCGGATGCACTTCCACGACTGCTTCATTAGGGTATGTGAGAAAACCCTTTTTTGTCTTTCTTTCTTTGCCTTAGTTAAATCCTGACATATGATGTTAGTGTTAAGGTTCGAACTAACCCTTTTTTATATATATATATATATATATGCTGGATTTGAAGGGTTGCGATGCCTCTGTGTTATTGAAATCAACCAAAAAGAACGTGGCAGAGAAAGATGGGCCGCCGAACATCTCACTCCACGCATTCTACGTAATCGACCATGCAAAGAAAGCTGTCGAAAAAATGTGCCCTGGAGTTGTCTCTTGTGCTGACATCCTCGCTTTGGCCGCCAGAGATGCTGTTGCTTTGGTAAGTAGTCGTTCGCTCATATCATCAGAGTGGCGCAGCGGAAGTGTGGTGGGCCCATAACCCACAGGTCCCTGGATCGAAACCAGGCTCTGATAATTTGACTTTTGTTTTGTTTTGTTTTGTTTTTTAACAGTCCGGAGGTCCAAACTGGGCAGTCCCCAAGGGTCGAAAGGACGGGCGAATCTCCAAGGCCATCGAGACCCGACAACTCCCCGCTCCAGTCTTCAACATCTCTCAACTCCAACAAAGCTTCTCCCAGAGAGGACTCTCCCTGGAGGACCTCGTCGCCCTCTCGGGAGGCCACACTCTGGGGTTCGCCCACTGCTCGTCCTTCCAGAACAGGATCCACAACTTCAACGCCAGCATCGACGTCGACTCGACCCTGAGCCCGTCGTTCGCGGCGAGCCTCAGGAGGGTCTGCCCCTTGCACAACAAGGCCAGGAACGCCGGGTCGACCATGGACTCCACCACGTTCGGGTTCGACAATGTCTACTACAAGATGTTGCTCGGTGGAAAGAGCATCTTTTCGTCGGACCAGGCTTTGCTCACAAACCCTAAGGCCAAGGCTTTGGTTCAGAAGTTTGCCGCGTCTGAGGCCGAATTCGGCAAGGCGTTTGCTGCTTCCATGGTTAAGATGAGTAGTCTTACTGGTGGGCAGGAGGTTAGGCTTGATTGTAAGGTTGTGAGGTAGATTTGTTCTTTAATTAATTTCGGGTTTTTATGGTTTGATTAAGTTGGGTCCTTGGGCAAGAATTTGGTTCATCTTGGTGGGTTTGGGTGACTACATTGGTGTTGAGTTGATGGGGTAAAATGTAAAATTTGGGCAGTCAAATTGGGCGCCAGGAGAGAGTTGTGGGTTTGTTTGTCAATGTGATTTATTGGAACTCTTTTTTTTTTTAATGTTAATAATAATTAGTTGGATTGTGATTGCAAATTTGATGTCATATGATCCCATATGTTTTCTTTATTGTTATCACTTCTAATGCACGATTCTATCATTAAGAAAGTTGCATGGGTTAGGAGTGCAAGCTATAACTAATTTCAGTTGACTTGGATGAAAGTGACTACAATGATTACAATTAATAATCAACCTATGAAGTATCTAACATGATTGCACTCTTGAATTACGATTAAAGCCTTGACCAAAGTGAAAACAGAAAACATATCGTCTCTTGATGGATTAAGTGAAAACAAAAACAAAAATCCGGTCAATAGATTGATCGAATTGGTGTTGACATATAAATGAAACGACTAATCACGTTCAAAAATAATGCAATCAACAATATATATTCTATTCTGCCTAATATATATAGTAAAGGGTGGAAACTCCGAAACTAATGAGTTTAAACTTTTATTAACCCAAACTGTATGCTCGTATATTACTAATTTCAGTCTCACCGGCCAATTCGAGTAGCTTCTTTATCGTGATTCATGAATGACCCTAATCCTTAGAAGCCAAAACTATGAGTGACTATCGTGATTCAGGAATGCAATAACAATACATAAAATACCTATGATTTTACTTTCTCGATTATTAATCGTTAGAGCAAACTATACGAGCAAGAACATATTAAAAAATGCAAGTGAAAAAAACATTATAATCATATTCAAGAAAGGAACTTAGTAAAAGTTGAAATACGAAGATAAAAGATGTGTATATACATTTTTTTTTCTTCGGAAACAATTTAAAATCCAGTGTTATCAAAACCGTTTCGGACCGGCCGGTCAGACTGAAGAAAACTGGATCCGGACAGTAATTCGGTTACGGAATGCTTAAAACAGAGAGAAATACAGCCGACTAGATCTCGACTAGTTTAGCCGGATAACCGGAAGAACTGGCAAACCCGAACGGGCGGTTTTGATACTATTTTTACCTTTTTAGCTTTTCTAATTCACATTTTAAAATGAAAAACACATGCCCAAAAAAGGAAATTTTGAATTAGAAAAGGGAAAATTCAATAATGCATAAATGACCCAACAAGTAAGTTAAATTGGCGGAAGCATGAAGTGGGTAATTTAGAACCATCTCACCTCTAATTGGGTTATTAGGTTTTCCACATTAATTACAACCCAATAATTTCTTGTTAATTTCTATTAATCATCAAAATACTACACCTTTCCTATTAGAACACTAACTCTTTTCTATTAGTTGAAATCCAATAATTTCTTTTCCCCGTTAATTGCTATTGATTTTCAAAATATCAACTCTTTCATATTATAACACTAACTATTTCCGTAAATAGGTTTTCCATAAAAAAATTAATTATTTCCTATAATTACAGCCCGATAAATCATATGATGTCTCTAGCCACATAAACTCTTTCCTATTAAGACACAGACGTCCTAATTGGGCTTGATCATGACCCTTTTTTCGTCTCAATTTGATTTTTATCATCAAGAAACATATAAAAATTCCAAACTAACCACACTATTTTTGTTGTTTACTCCTCTAAATTTCATACTTTGTTATTTTAATTTAGGCTTTGTAATTACCATCAAACCATAATTTTTTGACATATTGTATCTTACCGGTTTTATGACCGGTTCACAATACCAGTTAAACAACGGTTAGTCGATAAACCTTAAACCTTTTATTAATCCGGATCAATACTCGGTCCGATTTTGACAACATTGGTAAAATCTAATTGATAAAGGAAGCACTGTAAAGATCAATTAATGAGATTTTTGGACTCCGACATGTCATGTACTAGTCTCATTTCTTGCATTGTTTGGTCAATTTTTTCTCTTAGTAACGGAACCTTAAAAGGCCACAGAGGTGGCTCAGCATCAGAATTCAGAAGCTTCTTTTCGGCCCAATTGTCTTGATAATCACTGATTACTAAGCCTAGTTTGCCACAGTCCAATTTGGGCCTGTGCTCTAAACTCGGCCCAAGTTCAATGTCCAGAAACCCAATCTAGTTTCACAAAACCCGGTCGGGCGTTAAAAACCAAAATGCGAAGAAGAGGGGAAAAGATCCGAACTGCGCAGCCGTCAGCCGTCGGAGTAGTAACTCTCGAATTGGAACTGGACTAAAGACTCGCTTCATATTTCCAGCCTTTTCCACGACAACCGCTAAAACCCAAGCTCGCATTCGTCTTTCCCTTTCATCCGTTGGATTCGATGGCCGACCACACAGTTCAAGAATCCAACGACCCAGAGAAACAGGGGAAACCCGAGTTCCTTCTTCCCGTTGAAGACGAAGAAGAACTACGGAAGCTGCTGGTACCCGACCCGGAAAATCTCCCCGCCACTCCACCTTCCGCCGTCGAAACCAACTTCGTCTCCTATTTCGCGCCAGGTTTGTCTTAATTGATTAAGTTTTCCCCTCTCTTTTTTTACTGGTAATTGGGTCATTTTTCATTTGGGGGTTTGTCCACAGATTTTACGAAGCCAGGGCACGACCAGTACGTTTACAGACATGCCAATGGGTAACCCATGATTCCACTCAATGTATACAATAAAGGGTTTTTCTTTGTTTGATTTTTGGTTTTGAGCTCTGGAATCCTACAGGCTGTGCGTGGTTGGCTTGGCGCCGGGCCATTTGGCGTTTAAGGATGAAGGAGGGATCACCGCCGTCGATTTCAACGTCGGCAAGTCGGATCGGAGCGGTATGAAGGTCACTGGGAAACGCAAAAAGGTTACAACTTTCTGCTTAAGGAGTTGAATTTCCATTCTGTTCAGAGCTCTTTCTGGAATGTGTTAATTGAATGTTGTTTTGTTGTGGCAGAATGCCCAACATTTTGAGTCCAATACAGCTATATGTAAAGTTAGCACAAAAGGGGATTCCTACATCGTGAGGTTAGAACTTATTAGATCTTGTTTTGTTTCCTTAAATTATAAAGATTTTAAGTTCTTCTGTTGGTTAATGCTTGTTATGATCAGGTGTTGTGTGAAAGGGTCATTGTTGGAAGTGAATGACAGGCTCATCAAGCAGCCTGGTTTGCTCAATTCGTCGGTGAGAAATCGTGCTTATCTATCCATCTTGGAAAGTTCATCTAAGTGATGTTGAGATCTTCTGCCTGAAAATGACGTCTTTCTGCAATCTATCTACGATTTGTTTAGTGAGACTGCTTCTACCTTTTAAGTGTTGGTTTTGGTTACTGAACTTTTGCAGGCGGATAGAGAAGGTTATGTTGCCATCATGATGCCAAGGCCAGCAGACTGGTTGAAGGTCAAGGCTTCATTGATGAGCGGCGAAGAGTATGCAAAGCTGAGAGAAGTAAGGGTGCTGAACTGATTGATGGAATCTCTCCAGCATGGATGGAGACTAGCACTCCGGTTCAGCTTTCTGCAACTATTGCAGCTCAGGCTTTCTTCTATACGCTTTGGACCCTGGAAAAGGCGCAGATTTGAATGCTATTTCGCCTCTTGCTTTCCTGCTCCAATTTGTGTTTGTTTTGTCTGAGTAGCCAGAAGAAGGAAGCACACCACCTTGCGGAGGTGTTAGGCCGTGGCGAATTGTAATTCATGTTAGGGATCAAGTTTTGCAGATTTCTTGTGAAGTTGAAATGAAATTATGTATGGTCTAGTTTAAAAACTGCCTTTCTGAGTATGATCAGCAAGACTTTCATTTACTTTGGAAACTTAGGAGGATCTCTATGAACAGCACTAAGAGCAGGGTATATCATCTTGGCTGCATTTTATGTCTGTACATTGAAATGGTGAAAGAAAACTAGTTAAGAATTGATTGCACACGACCTAGGTACAAATTGAATGGCTGAGGCTTTCGATTGGCCACCTGGAACTCTATTTAGCTAATCAATCTTCTTCTATTTTTCCTCCTACTTTCTCTCTAATATCTCCACCATTACCCTTCACCTTCTCTTCTTTGGCCTCGAACCCGAATTCTTCCTCCCCTATCATCATCTCTTGCATTATGAACCTCCTCGACCGATTAATCGTATGAAAGCACAAATACACATGTTCTTCGAGCTCATCTAGTTGTTCTAGGTAGCAAGCGTCGTGGTCACGAAGCTCCCTCACCACCTGCCTCAGTAGCTCTTCGTTCTTGTTGTTCCTCACACACATTGCGGAGAGCACCTTCCTGTGCTCCACCTCGTTGTTGAGGCTTGTCGCTAGCCTACTCATCGTATCGAAATCATTGATTAGGATGAACGTCCCCTTCGCTGCCAGGTCCAACTGCCTACACACCCTCTCCATCAGGCCCACACTGAGTCGACCATGACGAACAATCGATACTCTTCTCTTTCTCATTCTCCTTCTCCTTCCTTTCTTGGCCAACAAGCAAGAAGATGAACACCCCACAATAGCTGGTGCGGCCACGATCCCCACCACGCTATGCAGCGCAATCACAAGCATGGAAACCACTAGTGTCATATGGAGGGCCACTAGCCCAAATCCTCCAACCTTCCTCAAGATCCGATTCGCCTTAGCCCTCCTCCGAATACTCCTCTTCTTTCGAGTGAGATTTCGGAGGAGAAACGTATTCCCATCATGAACCTCCTGGAATTGGACCGGTCTGACCAGACTCAAAGGGTTCACATGCCTTGCATACGAAGCAAGGTCTCTGTACATCGTCGCAGAAACCTGTCCTGTAAAATCTTCTCCCCCTTGGCTCGTCTTGATTACCCTCGTGATCTTGTCGTAATGCAAGCGAGTTCTTTGCACCGACAGGAGGAGCAACTCGCACAGATCGCATGCTTCCGAGCTCGACTCGAAGTAGTCGATCAGAAGCTTGTGGCAGTTGAACCTCTCTACTAGCTGCGCGATGGTTTCCCTCTCCGGCTGCGGCCGGAGTATGTATCCCGGAGGAAGCGTAGACGACGAGGATGACGTGGAGGAGGAAGACGAGGAAGAAGAATTTCGACGGTCGATTAGCTTGGCTTGGAGTTCCGTCCACATTTCTACATAAGACTCTGTGCGGAATGCTTCCTTGTACTCCTCGCTTACGTTTAGCTTGTTCCCCAAGCTACCGGGAGAACCCTCACTCTTCGATCTCCCTGAAGAAACAACACAAACAAAAACCAGACAGACACTCCGTTAATTAAAAAACCCAAGAAGAAAAACTCAAAAAACAGGGGAGGAAAAAACAGGGGAAGATGAAATGAATGAAAAACCCACCTCGGGGAAGGAGGAAAGATCGCAACTTGGACCAAGAAAGCTTCGCCATTTTTGTTTATCCGATCAAAGTGAACATGAGTGACGTTTAGTGCACAAAAAAAATCGACGCGATGATTCTCTGAATCGAGGGTGTTTCTTTTTTCTTTCTGAATGGGATGAAGTGAAGGGGTTTATATAAGAGGGAAGGAGAGAGAAATGGCGGTGTTTGTGGGGTAAGTCGGGGGGAGATGGAGAGAGGGAAAATGAGGTGAAGATGACAGTTGGCAGTTATGATGTAGGTTCCAAAAGAAATTGGATTATGTCTTTTGGGACAAGGCAACTAAACTAAGGATGTGGCATGTTTGGCACACGTTGGATTCTATGAAATAGAGAGCCAACGTGTAAAAGCCCGCGAGAAGGAAATGGCTTGTGGGATTTTGGAACTATGGAGTATATTAGAAACCTTTTGATCAGAATTGTGTGCTCCAAGAACAAGGCAACGCTTTTTTGTTCGTGTCCAGGTTCAAATGAAAGCTTGTTGTGAAGATAATTATCATGTATTTCGTATTAAGATTAGGTTGATGTCTTTGAGTCTATGAAATAGACGTATTTCATATAAATCATGCCTTATAAAGTTTCGTTATCACTTATATATGTTTTTCGTATTGAAATACTAGAATTTTCGACGTGAATTTGATAAGGTTAACCGACTCGTTGATAGGTGTGATGACTTGCGATGATGCAAGATTTTCTTTTGTCAGAGGGTTGCTCATACGCTATATAGGAAATGTGTGTGTTGTTTGTTTGCCTTTCGTTGTACCTGGTTTTCTGGAAGGGATTTGGTTTGCGGCTGACTCGGCTAACTCGGCTGATTTGTTCCTGACTTTTGGTGGGTTTAACTCGGTCTTGTCTTTTACTTGGCCCCCAATTATTGTTGGAGTTTGACTTTAAAGCTGTAGCTTGCTGAGAAGTTGCATAACAGAAGAAACCACGGTTATTTCTCAGTGTGTTTCTGTTTCGGATATGGGTTCTTTATGTGAACAGTTTCACATTCTATAATTAGGGCAAGAAAGAAGGATGCACAAAAGGGGAGAGTCGGTGCAACCAGGAGCTTGAGCTTGAGCTTGTGTCATCTAAATTTTGGTGGGCGGTGTAATAATTTCTCATCCATAGGTAAATATTAAATAAGGATTGATTGATTGACTGTCATTAAGAAGAAAGGGTTCAGTAATTTATTGGTAAAGGATTTATATTTTTGAAGTGGAAAGCATTTTTACTTCTGCATATATCTCAGCTCTTTATAGTTTGATTGTTTTTCTCCTCTTGTTATATTTAAGGGTCGTTTGGAGAATGAAAATGTAAATTATAAGTTATGATAAACATCATAATAATAAAAAAAATTAGATTAGTTAGAGAATTTGTTGATACATATATTTTGATGGGATAAATAAAAAATGAAGGGATAATGTAGGAGAAAACAAAATCACAAATCAAAATATAGAATCTCAATGATTATCAGAGACTTAATATCCATAGATTTTACAGATTTCAAATCTCTAAAATTAAAGTCCACAATACAAAAAAAAAAAAATTTCTACAAAATATATGGATTCAATGAATCCACGACCGAAGTTCTTTTATCCAAGCGACCCCTTACTTTTTAATTTAACCTTCGCTTTGATTTAAGTTACAATTATGTTTTTTATGACACATGACCAAAAATTTCGGGTGCAAGTAAACATTACTATATCTTGTAAATAATTGACAAATGATTCGGAAATTTTGAGATATGTAAAATTTATTATTATTTTATGAGACTCACACTTTATCGGGTCGTTTGAAGAATGAAATTATGATGATGAATTTAGAGAATTCATAAATTTAACAAAATGTCTTTTTTATGATAAGTATTTATTTTTCAGAGATTTTAAATATCTAAAATTTTGAGTTTTCTAATCTCTAAAATGAGGGATTTTGTATCTGAATTTTTGTGATTGTTTTTTTTTCCATTAAATATCAACAAGAGTAGTTACAACATCAAAATTAGAGAAAAAAAAACTCGACAAACTAAAGAGTGAATTTTTTAAATTGTTTGGAACTTTTCAATTCTCTTAACAACCCATTGTTATCAATATTTACAAACTCAGCTATTTAAGCTTAAAGAGCTTAAATTATTTAGGAATAGAAATAGACCGATATTTTGTTTGCATCTAAAATCTATGGTTGGTTCTACAAGACTACAACTATACAGTCAACATCAGAATAATTAGTTGAACAATTTAGGCCGGCCAGTTTACTTTTGAGGGGCCGAAACACAAATCGGCCCAAATCATGAAAAAACTGGGCTTGGGATTTCACACCCTACCGCCTCCGGAGCTGTTGTCGTTCACGAAACCAAATAAAACTTTAATGAGTCCACGTGAGCCACGTTGGTTTCTGGGCTTTTTTACGGGCATGTAATTAATGACGTTGCCTAATTAACCCCTAACGTGAAATTTTGGGCTCAAATGGAACGCAATTTGAAAAAAGTTTCCAAAGTTTCATCATCGTTAAGACATCAATCCTTACTGAATTGGGAAACAATGAGGCAATGATTGGCCTGAACTTGCGGTTGAAAATGTCGTTGGCGGCACTAACTAACTCTTTTGCTTCCACTCTTCATCGTCTCGTTCAACGTGGCAGGACATCAACTTAGGTTCATTGTCGTGGTTCAACTAATTCCATCCTTCTCATGAACTTGTCCCCTCTAAGCAACTCAAACCCTGAAGATCCATGGTTTCTTCTCCATTTGTGTGGATTGGGTTCGGTAGGCTTTCTCTCCACACATGGAAATCCAACAACTCATCTTTATGATTCTTTGACTGAAATTTCTTGTATGGATTGCTTGGTTGTCAACAAATTTAAGTAAGTGTGTCCATCAATCGAGTTCAAATTCTTATAATTATAGTTTATAATCTTCTCATAATATGCTCATCTTTAACTTTTGGTGTATGATTCTTCACGATTCTAGTTTTTTTCGGTTTCTATAATATTCTTTTATTCGCAAAGAATTTTTTTAACAAAATAATGAGTTGGAATTTTAGTTATATTTCTTCCTAATTTTATGCTTCGTGCGTTCACTTTAGAGGTCGTTTGCGTGTTGGATTTGAGTGATGCATTTGTCACTCAAATCTCAAGCATGATGAATTTAAATAATTTGGCTAAGGAATAAAAAAACTTTGTGCACAAAGTTATAAATTAATGATACACAAATTAACTATACAAATAATAGACTCATTCAAATACATAATGCGACAAATGTATCATAAATTGAAAGATTTTCAAAACAAAAAATAATGGTATAACTTACCTGAAATCTCATTAATTACTGCATAATCAAGTCATTAAAAATGAAAAAATAGCTAGTATAGAGACCCATATTTCCTTTCTGTCCATCTACATTAGGTGCGACATATGTGCCGCTTGGT